TTTTATGCATGGTTACCGGTGAGATCCAACTGGTTTGTTTGATGTACCTGTTGGAAGTCAGAGGACTACATACCTGTCGATTTTCGCAGGCCATCTAGTCAACCGAGGGGTCATACGGGCCTGCGTTTTCAACCATCCAAGTGTCTCGTGATCAAAGTACACTTTATAGCGTCGGCCTAGGAGATAATGTTCCCCATGGTCTAGTGCCTGTCTAAGTGCGTACAACTCCCTCTTTTATGTCGAGGCTGCGACTTTCTTGCTAGGCACACTTAACAACCATTTGCTCTAACCACTGATCTACTAGAGACCTTTCTATTGTCATATTTTTTTAATAGCCTTTTGAAAATCTATCATATTTTGTTGAGAAACATCTTGTCTTTTTACTAGAGTAGTTTTATGCATAGTTACCGGTGAGATCCAACTGGTTTGTTTTGAGTGGTCATACGGGCCTGCGTTTTCAACCATCCAAGTGTCTCGTGATCAGAGTACACTTTATAGCGTCGGCCTAGGAGATAATGTTGCCAATGGTCTAGTGCCTGTCTAAGTGCATACAACGCCCTCTTGTATGTCGAGGCTGTGACTTTCTTGCTAGGCGCACTTAACAACCATTTGCTCTAACCACTGATCTACTAGAGACCTTTCTATTGTAATATTTTTTTAGTAGCCTTTTGACAATCTATCATATTTTGTTGAGAAACATCTTGTCTTTTTACTAGAGTAGTTTTATGCATGGTTACCGGTGAGATCCAACTGGTTCGTTTGATGTACCTGTTGGAAGTCAGAGGACTACATGCCTAACCCGAAAGGGGCCTAGTATTAGGGAAGCACTGATAATCCCATCAATAATCAGGAAAAGGTTTATGCATTTGCACAATGAAGATTTCATTCTACGACATAGAGACAACTCTCGCCTAGGGGGAATTTAATATTGGATCTTTGGACTTAAGTTTTTTAGATCGTGGTTTTAAGTACCACAATCTTCAAGTTTTTTAGATCGTGGTTTTACGTACCACAATCTTCTAATATTGTAGCTATATGCTATATATGGGTTAAGGTGGATTATCACATACAGAGTAATCAGTTGGGGGATTCTGCAAACTGGTGAGGGTTCAGCCTCCTGATGAGTCGGTGAAACTCTGACGAAATAGTTTGTCGCAACCCTTTGTTTGTTGTCCTCGTCTCCCTCCTTGCCTACGGTTTACCGGGCAGCTCTATTTGACAATACATACCACGATTTTTGCTAGCACCCTGCTACGGTTTTCTTCGGTAGCGCCAATGGTCAGGGTCGTCACTATGCGGCCATGTTGTGCCTCTAGTGCCAGCGATGTGTCTGGAGTGTACTTTTGGCTGTGATGGACCTTTCTTTGTTTCGTGGGTGTGAACCGACAATCTGTAGAGTTTTCATTTGGTGTGGGTGAGTGGTAGTCTGCTTTGATTTTCCCCGCGGGTACCTTGAGGGTAGTGGTCGGTGCCCACCTCAGAGTATCAGTTGTCGGGCAGTCGTTGATGCTTAACCACAACCGGGGCTAAGGTGGATTATCACTTACAGTGTAATCAGTTAGGGGATTGTGCAGACTGTCGAGGGTTCAGCCTCTTGACCAGTCGGTGAAACTCGACCAAACAGTTTGTTACAGTCCCATGTTTGTTGTCCTATTCTCCCTCTCTGCCTACGGTTTACCCGGCAGCTCTTGACGAGTGGCTGCAAAGCCCTAAACCAGGCGACTATAGCGATAGATCAAACGCGAAGCGTCTGCTCTGGCGAGTGGAGTAAATGCCTGAATAGAAGCAAGAAGTGAACCACGAATCTCAATTCTCTGTAGTCTACAGGACGAATTCGACGGGCCTATACCCGTCTCTATCATTCTGTTGGAGTACAGTGCCGATGCCATATTGACTTGCCTCGGTCGTTACGATGAACCGAAGAGATGGACGAGTTATCTTAAGGATCGAGTACTCGATCAAGCACTTCTTTAGCTTCTTGAACGCGGAGGTGCAATCCTTATCCCATGTCCAAACAGCCACTTTCTTCAACGATCTACGCAGTGGTGCAGCGATGGTAGAGAAATTGCATATGAACCTTCGGTAGTAATTGGCCAGACCTACGAATGAACGAAGTTCTGTAAGTGTATGGGGGGTCGGCCAGTCCCTAATCGCTGCTATCCTCACATTTTCCGGTCTAACTCCATCTCCGTCTACAACATGATTTAGCTACAAGACTTGGTGCATAGCCCAGTCACATTTTTTCGGGTTCAACTTGAACTTAGCCTCACGCAATTTACTCGGAATTAGACAAAGGTAGGCTCACGCAATTTACTCGGAATTAGACAAAGGTAGGCTCACGCAATTTACTCGGAATTAGACAAAGGTAGCCTCACGCAATTTACTCAGAATTAGACAAAGGTAGCCTCACACAATTTACTCAGAATTAGACAAAGGTAGCCTCACGCAATTTACTCAAAATTAGACAAAGGTGCTTTTGATGTTCTTTTAAGGTCTTGCTAAAAATCAGAATATTGGGCAGGTATGACAACGAACTTATCTAGCCATTCCCTAAAGAGATCATCAATGCATCTCTGAAATGTGGCAGGGGCATTCGTCAGCCCAAAAGGCATCAGTACGAACTCGTAATGACCATAACGGGTCTTAAAAGTCGTTTTGTGTTGATCTTCAGGCTCTACCTCTATTTGATGGTAGCCCAGTTTTAAATCTATTTTCGAAAAATACCTTGCACCCTGTCCAGCAAATCGCCAATACGTGGCAATGGTTCGGCGTTCTTGACAGTGATCGTGTTCAGCCCCCTATAACCAATACACATACGCGGTTTTGTGCCAACAACCTTATGTTAATGGCACTCTCACGCTCTTGTATTAGGAGGGATCTCTCACGAGGATCTGCAGTCTGTAGCTTGGCTCGGATCTGTTTCATCGACCGGCCTGGCCTTTAAGGAAGCCAAACTTGGTCAGCCACTCGTGTGCTTCATCCTGCTGTGGCTGAATGCTTTCCCCCTCTTCTTGTTGTCTCTCCCCTCCTCTCTGCTCGTCCTCTTCTCCCAAAACTTCAATCTCTTCTTCCTTCACGATCTTCCTCGCCTCTTCTTCCATCTCCTTCGACATCTTTCCTTCTTGCTTTTTCTCCTCTTCCTTCCGCCTCTTTTTCTCCTCTTCCATTTCTTTTTCGTCCTCCTCTTTCTTTTTCAGTCTCTTCGCCTTCTTTTCCTTCTGTTCCCTCAATTTTGCATGAATTTTTGCCTTCTCCGCCGGAGTATACGGCTGCGTGGACTTATCGGACCTAGCTACCACGCCCGATCCGAAGGTGTGGTGGAATCCCAGCGGGAAGAGCATGCAAAGGAGGGGCCCCCATATCACGCTGAGGGCCAAGAAGCCGTACATGGGATAATCGCCGATCAGGGCACAGTAGGTAGACTCTGCCTCCTCACCATGTAGACCGAACCCTCAAGACTTACTTACCTCAACACTGAACTCTAATCCTAACCTAGATCGGGGTCTACAACTCTACTTCCCTTCCCCACACCAGTTACTACACTCCCCTGGAGAGCTGATGGTCAACCAGCTGTTTAAGGTCTGCCAGCAAGGACCCCAGGAATTACTTAACGACACAAACAGGATGTCGCAGCTGCCAGATGCAGGTTGGTTCTCATGACTTTAAGCCCTTCACTGCGTCAGCACCGATTCAGTCGCATGCCGGTCAGTCCCGGTCTTAGGGTTAGACGGGTTGTTTTATGAGCGCTCGCCGCTCATGCCCATGCTCCCTACTCTTGGGTGATACATCCAGCTGTCGAGCATCTACCTAGCGACCTGCTCCCTTCACTGCGTCAGCTCCGGTTCAGGGCTGTGCCGCTCAGTATTGTTCATTGGGCTAGCCGAGCTGTTTTCCGAGCGCCCGCCGGTCATGCCCACGTCCCATACTTTACTGGTGATTCATCCAGCTAATGGGTTCAGTCAACATGCATCCTCAACACTTAGTGCAAGACTCAAAGACTCACAGCAGCAAAAGTCAAGTGTGACCAGATTGACATCAATAGGAATGCCTGATTGCAGAAGAGGTCTCCAGGAAAGTTCAGGGAGATACCGACTCCGTCGATATGAGCTCTTGGGAGTCATCAGCCCGTTATCCCCGGAGTACCTTTGATCTGTTAAGCGAGAGCCCTTCCACACAGGGCCGCCGGATCACTATGGCCGACTTTCATCTCTGTTCGACTTGTAGGTGTCACAGTCCGAAACAAAACAAAATGAAGTGCATAAAAGACAAGGGCCAGGGCAAGAAGCATTTCACTAGTCTTGATGTCACTCTTGATGAAGCTCCTCGCTCGCAGGTATTGCCCGTCTCAAGCCTCTTCTTCTCCGGGCCTCACCCCAACTTCCAACCCCGATGTATCTCTCTCTCTTTTTTTTTTTTTTTTCACTGCCCGCTGGCCTTATTCCTTGCCAGCGCTGCTTCTCCAAGCGGATGTAGCGGGATCCAGCTCTGATACCAGTGTAAAGATTCTCAAGTTAATCAGCCTCAACCTTGCACACAGATGGGAGGAGCATCCAGATGACTGTTCACACTTAGCCGAGACACAAGACTGTACATGCATTTGGATGCTTTCTGGATGGGGTGAATTCGGACAAGTTATCGTATCGGGTCCAGAGAGCGTCCAAATGCATGTAGAGTGCTGTGTAGTGGAGCGAGGCCCAATGTTATCGGATACGAAAGCAAGAGTCGTCCATTGTTTTTGCAGCTTTGTGGTGTTACTCTAGGCAAAGTCGAGAATGGAAAATGCAATATTCTGACTGGGATGAACAGTGCTACCAGACCAAAATAGCTGGCAGTGCCAGCCAAATGGGAAAAAACAAAATGCCACTGTGGTGGTTCATGTCCTTTTTGGCGCGCATCGGAGTGGGTGAATCTGCCTCAGCAAAAAGAGGCTCGGAGGTAGTGGTGCCGTAAAGGTGATCTTGTGGGTCTGAAGCATCTGTGTGCTATTCAGTGTGTTGCAGGGGAGCCTCTGATGCAGTTGGTCGCAGTGGATTGGTTCAAGGCAGATGTGCGGATTGACCACCTTGCGAGGAGAAAAGGGAATGTTGTCCAGGTAAGAATTATTGTGAGATTGTGATTTTATGTGATGTCATCCACGTTAAAAACCATGGCCCTGTCGCAGTGCACCCCATTGCCAACCAGACCCCTCCCCACCGCCACCTCCCTGTCTTCCACACCCCATGCTCTCCTCCTCTGCCCTGCAAAACACTGGAGATAGGTGACTGTCTTTCATTTTTGTTCCTTCATAGATCAATCCTTCGTTTAAGAGGAGAAATAGTAGGGAGTGAAGAAGGTGGAGGGAGTAGTATCGGTGAGATGATGAGGGGCTTGTCGTGATGACGAGGGGAAGTATAGGAAAGGGGGTAGGAGGGAGGAGGAGGATGAGGAGGAGTAGGAGGAGGAGAAACGAGTAGCTTTAGCGAGATGATGAAGGTGGTAGTGGTGATGATGATGATGATGATCATGCTGCTGCTGATGATGATGACGGAGGAAGAGGGAGGAGGAGGAAATTGGAATAGCAGCAGCAAGGTGATGAAGGTGGTGCTGGTGGTTGTGATGATGATGATGACCGCAGCTGCTGATTTCCGGTGGTCAGTATGGAGTCGCGTCAACGCGATGTTGTGAACTTGGTAACAGTTCTTTGACACCGGCCATAGATGGTGCCCTTGCCATAGAAGGACAACGGCTCGATCTGATGTCAAGTTCGTACTAAGGAGCAGCACCTGTTCTCCTTAGGCAGGGCAATCCTGATGAGGTGTTGATGATATGTGCCCTTGTTTAGGATTCCGCGGCTGTTGCCACTGCTGCCAGTGATGATGATGATGATGATGATGATGATGATGATGATGATGATGATGATGGCAACGGCGGTGACTATGTGATGATGATGCTAATGATGACACTGGTGGTCATGGTGTGTTTATAGTTGAGGATGCTAATTGGGACGATGGCGATAATTGCATATGTACACTTCCCGGCGATGTGGTCTACACTGACGATCATGATGGTCATAAGTAGTGACTCTCAGACAGGAGGGCTGATGCCACGAGGATGCCTCACAAGGAGCTCCTGCAGTGGTTTGTTGAAGCCATGAGTGGGGTTCCGGATGACCAGCATCTGATTGCAGCAGTTTTCGGAACAGTGGCTATGGAGGACCTCTCCAAGCCAGCTGAGGAATAGGGACTAGAGCATCGGGAAAGGGCGGAAGGGTAGTTCGATAGCCTGTGCCTGTACCATCAAATGGACTCTTGGCCATTACAAAACTGGCATATACCACCTTTATGAAAACTGAAGAGAGAGATTTGCGCATTTCTTGCTGAAGAAGCGCACAATATCAGGAATATCCTTGGCCTGAAGGTTGACGGCTGTTGCATACTCGACGTGGGTTTTTCTGCAGGTAGCGCGTGGAATGAAGGGCTTTGTTCTTGTAATTAACCTGCAGGTATAGACCCGCTTGACCTCTCTTGCACTTGCTGAACCTCCCTCTGCAGCTCTCTTCGACCCATAAATAAAGATACTCAACCATTCATTAGACAGCTGACCTTCTTCTGATTTTGATGGTTCTGTGTTCAAGCATATATATGATAGTGTAGGCAAATTAGCATCAGGTTGTTTTGGATTCTGGTCTTGACCCTTCTATACCATCAGACTGTTTCTGTTCTGCAGGCAGAGAAAGAAATGAAAGCAAGTGCCGCATGTTGGTTGCGGCATCTTCTGATGTGCACCCACTACGGCTTCCTTTCTTTTTTTTTTCTTTTTTTTTTCCCCAAAAAAGCAGCCCCTTCTATTCTGGGGGGCATCAGTCCGGTTGCTCATCACCGGCAAGCCTGGAAAACAAAATACAGTTTGGTTTAAAAGAGAAGAGGAAAGCCTTGCCCTTGCGGCCCTAGACACCTCTCAAGGGGGGGATTGCTACAATCAAAACCCACTTCCCATACCATAGCCTCCCCAGGGATACCTCTGTTGGTCGGGAAGCTTCCTAACAGCACCCAGCCACACAACAGATGGGTCCCCAGGGAAGGCCTGGCTCGGGGGGGCTGTTCTAGCAATCTCACGGGCCTCTCATAGTGTTAAACCCTTCCTCAGTTTCCCCGTTTAAAATCCTCTGGCTACCATCTAACCCACTACGGCTTCCAAAGCGGTTGTTAGGGTTTTCTGTGAGGGTGTGGAAAGGGGATCTGAAGGGGTTCACAAGGATGAATAGAGTCTATCAAAGATAATATCTCCCCCCCGCCCCCTTCCTTTGTGTTACCTTTGTTATGATCCTGGCTATCTTGCAGTGCAACAACTCAAGGAAAGACGATGCCTTTCAATTGCAACTGAAATGAAAGAACTTGGAAAGAGAAATAGACAAAGGAAGAAGAAGAAAAAGAAGAAGAAGAAGAAGAAGATGAACTCCAGCAAAGGCCAATGTGAGTCCTCCTCCATCTTGCCACCATCTTCATCCTCCAATTACTCCCCCAACTCATCATTAACAAAAATAAGAATCAATAACAATCAAAGAACGAACCAGAACCAATGTACGAATCCTCCGCTTACTGCCGGCCACTGAAGAGGTCCACGCAGCCATCTCGTACATCCTCCTCTTACTTCGTCGAGCTGGTACCCTTTTCTCTAAGGGCCTTTCCTACGCTACTACCCTGCAGTGCCTGCACAACAACACGGGCCACAGGTAATTACCAGGCACGCGGGCCTTCCCAGCACACAAGTACCACAGTGGGTCACACACACACACACACACACACACACACACACACACACACACACACACACACACACACACACACACACAGAGGCAAACAAGTGTAAACTCAGTGATCGGGCATGCACACAGACTTAAAAATCACAGCAGAATACGGGAATCTCAGCAAGGCACTCAAACAGACGGCAAAACTCGGAAAACAGTCGGTTTCTCAGTCTGCAAATTTGCAGGTCATGACACCTTCTTTAGTTTTCTTTTTCCCCCCATTTTTTAGGGGGTATCTCCTAACGTGTTTCTATCCGTCTTTGGATGTCCGGTCATGTAATAAAGTTTATGATGCAAAGTTCTCTTGACCTGTGATAGCTGAACAAGTGTGATGGTTACTTCCTTCTCCATCTCCTCCACGTGCTTCCGGGCCAGCGCCTGTAGTCTGGTCTTGTGGGCATTCTTGAATTCTGTTCCAATGATGTGTACGTGCTCGCCTTATGTAATTAGGGCTTCCAGTGAGTGCTACTGATATTATCCCCTCACTTGTCCTTTTCCGGCATCCTCTTGTCCTGTCTCACAAATTCGCAGTAAGCCGAATGTCCAGAGTGCAGAATTGATTGCGCAGTCTCGTCTTGTTAGAGCTTTTCGTCATTTTAACTGCAGCCTGCAGGTGACCTAACGGTCACCCACACATCTGCTCCATTGGCGTGCATATATCGAAGTAGCCAGCCTCCTTAATATGTTCTTACATGGTTGAAATTCAAATCTACATGGGTGATCTAAACCACAAGCTATGATCTGCTTTCATGTTTTGTCATATGCCAGGTCCCTGCAGCGCAACATTACAGCATGGTCTTTTATTATGTACCAATAGAACCGATCAAGCATGGGACTCTATTACATCGGTTCATTGAGGGTGATGCCAGCTTCAGAAACAACCGTCTAAAGCTCATACCAAGCGTTGCCAAGGTAATTATTCCATTTGCGGCCAAGTAGTATGCTAGAGGTGTGTGTTTCTTTTTCTCTCCTGTGTTCAAGCCTTAATGCAAGTTCAGGCCTAGGCAAGAGGACCCTTCCTGGAAAATACCGCAATGTAGCTGCGAAGGTTGACCATTGGTGACACCATGCAATGGGGCTATTCTTGATGATCTCCATGCCTATCACACGCCGAGTCTGTGTGTTTGGAGGTGAGGAACAGGTTCGACGTCCTTGCCGAGGAGTTGCGTGTGTGGCTCAAACAAATCAAACAAATGCCTCCAAGATGCCATGCGCGTGTTCTTGATGTTTTGTTTGTACGTCACATGGGAAAGGGATCTCTAAACATTGTGAATGGGTCGCATAATCAATTCATTGGGGGTTCAGCCACCCTTCTTGCAGAGACTAGCAACGGGTACCCAGACCCACACCCACCCGCACCCACCCGCACCCACCCCACCCACGAGGCATTGGGTCAGGTGTTGGTCTTGATAAGCTGGCATGGGTGGGATGAAGGTGGGTGACGGGCGGGTCAATATTAGGCCTGGGTCACCCAAATGGGTGGGTGACAGGCGGGTGAGCGCCAGGCCTGGGTCACACGAATTGGTGGCTGACAGGCGGGTGAGCATCAGCCCTGGGTCACCCGACCCATGGACCCAGGACAACCCATAAGACCACACCCACCCCCGCTTTCCCAGCATC